GGTATTTATCCATTGCCGTCCAACATAGTCCTAACTTTGGTTGCAGGACTCGAATTAGAGGTGGCAAAATAGGCGGGATGGGCGGGATTTGTTTGGGTTCGGAATGAAACCGAATCATATGGGTATGGGTCTAACCTTACTCATATGTGTTTTGGGACTAATTTGGACGGGATCACTTTGGGATGGGTTTAAATTGATTCTGCCCAATACTCAAATCTATTTTTTATATTTTTTTCCTTTAATTCTTTTTATTTTTTATATAACTTTAATATTTTTATTTATTAAATTTCTTTTGATCTTATTGTGAATTTATATTTTCCTGAATTCATTTACACTCTAGAACGATCAACAGTTACTTTTAAAAGACATTACATTTTGGTAAGAATGAACATATTTTCTCCCTGAATTAAACCAAAAATTGGATTAACAAATAAAGGAAAAGATAGATATACAACCATATTCCAACCTTACCCATAATGTTGTCTGACACAAGGACTAGAAACAAGATTTTTTAACACCAAATTCATTCTTACTGGCATTCTTAAAATTTTCAAAATTTGATAAAAAAGAAATTCACATTAAATGCTGAATAAAGCTAGCACCAAAACGGAGAAGTTGATTAAAAATTGATAACAGGGTTGCATATAGAAATCTATGTAGATAGTTCAACAATTAGCATAAAATCAACATAAAGGGTGTCAACAGTTGTTAGTAAAGCATTGATTCTTGTAGACACCAAAATTTTACCAATTCATTTTATTTTTATTGTTATCTTTATTTTTTTAAAGTTGTTTAAATGAAATAATTTTTACTTAACTGGTTTTCTTTTGTAGGAATGTGAAGACAGGAAAAGAAAGAAAATGGAAGTGAAAAAAAATCAGATTTTTGAAAAAAAAAAATCAAAGTTAAATTTTTGGATAAATGAAATTTTTTGGAAGATATTTGGGCCCAATGGGTACCCAAGTATTTCCCAACATTTCCCATCAAATAATAGGTACAATTGGAATGCATCCCATTTTAAACCCAATATCAAATTATAATACCCATCCCGCCCAAAGTCCTTTTGGGCATGGGTAGCCCGTTGGGACTTGGGACAAATTGCCACCTCTAACTCGAATACATAATTTTTTTTTTTTTTTAATTCTTCAATGTTCCATAGGCTGATTATTTTTTGTTTGGTTGTTTTACATGATAAATTTCTCACAAGTTTCTTAGGAAGGGTACTCATGGGACATGACTAATTCTCATAGTCGTGAAGCTATTTAAAACGCCATTCATACGATTCATGCTTGTGAAACATGTGGATGCACGGTAAGAATTTCATTCATACTCTTAATAGAGACATCAGCAAAATAAAGGGGGTATGGTTTAATATAAGGAAACTCTACCGTCTCTATTAGGCACCATACATACAAATGATTGTAATTCAATAAACCCTTACCGCATCATTTAATAATTTGAATTCACAAAATCATCTAACAATTGATGTTTCTATTTGCAGATCCAATTAATGTTGAATTGATGCTCATCGATATGGTACCCGAGAGAGAGGTACAGTAGAACTCCTCTTAATCAATGCCATATATAACAATCATATTCTTTTCTTGTCCCTCTTGTTGTGTATTTGGAAAGGTTAGAACGAATTTGTTTACCAGCATTATGATCCCTGCCCTGATGAAATTTCTGTTTAAATCATCTTTTCCTTTGCTAAAGACGAAATGGTCGAAGTTGAGAGACTATCATATCATGGCAGCTAGATTTTTAGACGGGAGAAGGATCTAAATATATCAAGACAATAACAAAATGGAGTATCATACGTGCACTCAAATGTACAATAATGGGCAGTAAGAGTTCGGCAAAATTACGTATGTAGATTCATACAAGAATCATTTATTTGGAAGTTATGGGACTATAACAACAGGTTGGGAGCGGGTTGGGTTGGGTTGGATGGTAAGGTAGGAGGAATTTTAAGTAGCCAAGACCTCCTAGTTATCAAAAGAAAAAAAGTACAGGTTGATTTGCAATGGCTTTCAAATTAATATGATGTCACAAAAATAATTTTTTTAAGGTTACACGAATATCATTTTGATTTTTATTCTTGTGTATGAAAATTAGTTTGATTAGAAACTTGATCCCATTGTTAGTTTGTCTGTATAAAAATACATGTGTGTTTGTAATCTTGCTAACAACTCAAATGACGTCTTTATCCGAATACACTCTAAAATTACTATTCTCAAGGAAGTATTCTTGGAGAGATATAATACCAAAAAGCCTATTATGTAATTTACTCGCAAAATGCAAGTAGTCCACATGTATTGAGGTCGGACTAACCCTATCCAGGATGAACGTGTAATAAGAATCGAATCCAAACTTTTAATTCCTAACGTCTCAACCTTAATTACTAAACAATGCTCAATCAGCAACAAAATTTTTATCTTTTTTTGCCTCAATGCTTCGAATCTCTACTCTAATCAAGAAATCATGTATAAAAGATTGAGGTTGTGCCTATATTGATGAAGAAGTAGGGTTCTTAGACGGAAAAGGTGCTAGCCGGCAACCCTCAGTGGAAGAAATTAGAGCAAATAAAATCTAATAGGACACATATAAGTTCAGTGAATTTTAGGTATACACTGTTAGTATATATAAAATTTACTTATAGTCTAGGCATGTCAATGGGTCGGATCTTACCCAAATCCAACCTAGATCCACTATATTTGGATAGGGTTTGGATTTAATTTCTCAAATCCAGACCCGACCCGAAATTAAATCCAGACTCAACCCAGATCCAGACCCTGTGGCGTGGGTCTAGATAGGGTTTGATTTTCTATAATCCATGTTCAAATCCAAATTCATACCAAACTTTATTCAGACCCATATATATTTAATTAATGACTAGTACCTCAGAGTGCAATTACCAACCAAAGTGGAATTAATGACTATTACCTCAAAGTGGAATTACGTACCAAGTCTTTGAGATGCGTGTATGGTGCACAGAGGAGCCCCTTCTACTAAACATAAACTATTCTTCGATGGAAGACTAATGATCAAATTTTTTTGGCAGACTTAGGCAATGGCGCATCTTGTTTGGATACTCCTCTAATATACAAGAATTGGTCCGATTTTCCAGCAATTCCTTGATCAGTGAAGCAACCATCCATCAAAAGCTCATCAATTCTAAACTTTCATTCCACTTACAAGGAAATTCGGGCAGTGAAAAGGAGAACGTGTAAGTTCCAATTCCATTAAATTGGACAGCTTTATTTGGTACGTTGGACATTTCATCTTTCCCAGAACAACTTCTTTGACCTTCAATTCATCAACTCAGTGGAAGATTGATGTTAAGCATAACTCCTTTTCGAGATGTGGTTTAATAACATTATATAGCAAAAACTGTTGACTGCTCTTCAAAATTCAAATTACTTGAATATTTTTTTTTCTTTGTTTTTAATTGAGATATGCTGAATTTTGAACTACCAACATTGAAAACAGGTGGGGAAATAAAAAATTTGACCCAGGGTATAGCAAAGCTGTAGAACTATTAAACAGATTGAACTCTCCAGAGAAATTGACTAAAGGGAATAATCATGTTTTACCTACTGATGAATCAAACTCAAATGGGTTCAATAAGTTTCATATCAATTAGATAATTGAACTCTCCATTAGTGACTAATGATGATTGGATTGAATCAAAGAAAAAATGAATAAGTGTTTGTAAATCTTCTTATTCTATTATTTTTTTGTTATCGGTCCTTAGTCAAATGACTTTTATCTCATTCACTATTTAAGTGTTGAATTACGAGACATCTACCAATATTGAGGTTTAAATATGAAAAAGAGGTACAAAATTACATTTTTTTAATAAGATTAAATATTTATATATGTTATGGTTGTTTTCTTTTTGAAAACTAATCCTAATTGTCATTGTAATTGGTACAAACTTTTCAAGAAAAGGAAAAAAAGGTAAAGGCAAACAAATGAAATATTGGATATAGATGCAGTTGAATCTTTGAAAATATATACAAGTAGTCAACAATAATTCTTTCTTTGAGTTCACAATATTACATTCAACTTGTCGAATGTTAATTTTATTATTTGAAAACAAAAATTGGATGGTATTTATATCATATATGAACTCTATATATTTTAAATACATTTTTACATTAGTATGTTCAGAAAATACCCATGAATGTCCATTGGATACACAGATTCATAAGAGTCTGGGTACGAACTTACTTTTTCAGATCCAAAAGGGTTTGGATTTGGATCTGAGTCTAATTAAATTAAATGGATCTGAATTTGGATCAAATGATCCAAACTAAACCCTACCTATTGACATGCCTGTTATGGTCCAACAGCTAACAAACTGTGTCCCGTAAATGTAGGATAACCACTAAACCCAAAGTTTTATTCTAATGCTTGATTATCGAGAAGCTATGTCTACGTTAACGTGGTGCTTGCTATTTCGGTTTAGGGCTGCAAACGAGCCGAGCCGAGTCGAGTTTTGAGCTAATCGAGTCGAGTCTCGACTGAATTTTACCAAGCTCGAACTCGAGCTCTAGCTCGACAAGCCGGCAATTTTCAAGCTCGAGCTCGAGCTCGAAAAAAATAAAAAATAATTATTTTATTTTTTAAAAAATAAATAATATAATATTTTTTCTTAATAAATAATAAAATATTAAGGATATATACGTAATTTTATTATGAAAATAAAAAATAAAAAATAAATATATAATATACGTATTTTTATTATTAAATAATAATATATATATATATATATATATATATATATATATATATATATATATATATATATATATATATATATATATATATACTCAAGAACAAACTTAATATTCTGAGCTCGAGTTCGAGCTCGAGTTTGACTCGAGCCGCTCGCGAGCGGCTCGATTCGTTTGCAGCCCTGTTTCGGCCAGAATCAAGAAAATATTTGCAGCAAAAGTGCAAGTGTTTGGCGACCGGCTGTTTGGTACGAGGTTTTGTTAAGGTTGAAAAAGAAGCATCAATGGAGAAGAAGAATATAGTAATATACTACATGACAATGACGCAGCTGACTGATGTGGTCAGAGCGGCAACTTAGCAACTGCCAAACATGTCCCAAGATTTTATACCAGAATTCCACAAAATCAGAGATACTACATCAACAATATCTACCATTCAGACAACGGTTTGAAGAACTTCTAGTAGAGTTTTTAAGGTTTCATCAGCAATTCCAATGTTGTTCATTTCTAATGTAAGATTACTCTGATTAGATTTCTCATTAAAGGGCCAGAGAGTGTGGAGCAAGCTACTATATCAGTTAAGCTCTCCCTGCTTCAAGAATCAAATTGTTGTCGATAATGCGCAGCCCGTTCTCAGAAGCAATGACTGCAGTACAGCTGAAATTTATGGAATGTTTCAAGATCAACCAAAATATATAGCAGTAAAGGAAGTATGACAATCAGAAGTTAAGAGAAGAAGGAAACATTGTATTCACTTTTCATAGGTGCATAAATGTACCATAAGGCATCATACGTAAGCAACATAAGTGCCAACAATAAGTGCAAGCTTTTTTATGCGAAAGATGTCAACTGTGGAGATATTAAATGAAGATAGCCACATATGATTAAAGCACAAGCCAATGTCTGGGTAACAAGTCCTAGAATTCACAAGCACAAGCGATCAGTAGTCAGTAGCTGCATGATCACAGCAGAAGGCATTTTCTTCTATAATCAATTTAAACAAATACAGTAGATATTCTATAAGCATGTATTGATATCATCATTACTATGTGAAAAATGGTGCCTTTAGTGATTCATGATGCCAGTCCTATCACTAAAGAGGCTTATGCAAAGTAACTTGAGTTGATGAAGAAAGCTAGTCAGAGTTAAGCTACTTGACCAAGCATTTCGCTTATTGTTTTTTGTGTCTTAAACTAGTGGATGCCTTTTTGTCGACAGGATCTTTGTTCCCCTTGTCTTTCTTCTTTATTCTTTTGGAGTGGCTTACTTGGCGCTTCTCTTTCTTGTCCTTGCATTAGGACTAGAAATGGGGGCATACCGAAGCTTACTCGCCCATAAAATTGGCTGACCAGTCAGTCTCTCTTCTCTCACTGAAGAAGCTTTAAGAGTCAAAGGAGAATCAGCCATGTGATTTTCAACCAGTTAGCACTAATCATGGTAATGACTCTGTAAGAGACCAATGAATGCATGGAACTTGTATAATTATCACTTTGAGATATTAACAAGAGGGGAGTCTATTAATTGAAGCTCCCACCTGTTGACCATCAAATGCATCTCTAACAAATTTTTAATCTCTCATCATACGTAGAACCTCCCGGTAACTTGGGTAGAAGATAGCGTGAACACCATCCAGTGGGCGAATTTGAGAATGAACAGAAACGGAAAATTGCTCCCTTAACTTCATCAATCAAGATGGCAGCACCAAGAGAAGTAACTATATTAGACCTCAGAGGAGAAGAATGTACACTTGGTGAGAAATCCTGGTTCCTGGCCTGGTCCATATCTCCGCATAATGAGCTATAGAACTCTCTAACCACCATGTTGAGTAACCCAACACTTTCCAGCCAAATCCCATCAGCTACTTTCAGAGCTTCAGTTCATCTCTTTCTCCTCAGTATGGTGGATATCCATGCAACTGGCTGGTCTTACATTCCACAAACTGAACCAATCTACAGATTGAAATTAATCAGCCTAATCATCATTAATGACTATTACCTCAAAGTGGAATTACCAAGTCTTGGAGATGCGTGTATGGTGCACAGAGGAGCCCCTTCTACCAAACATAAACTATTCTTCGATGAAAGACTAATGATCAAATTTTTTGGCAGACTTAGGCAATGGCGCATCTTGTTTGGATAACATAGACAGCTGCTAATCAGATACTCTTCTAATATACATGCATTGGTCCTATTTATCCTTGGTCAGTGGAGCAACCATCCATCAAAAGCTCATTAATTCTAAACTTTCATTCCACTTACAAGGAAATTCAGGCAGTGAAAAGGAGAACGTGTAAGCACCAATTCCATTAAATTGGACAGCTTTATTTGGTACATTGGACATTTCATCTTTCCCTCTACAGTTCAGGCACCCAGAACAACTCCTTTGACCTTCAATTCATCAACTCAGTGGAAGATTGATGTTAAGCATAACTCCTTTTCGAGGTGTGGTTTAATAACATTATATAGCAAAAACTGTTGACTGTTCTTCTAAGTTCAAATTACTTGAATATTTTTTTGTTTTTTCCTTTGTTTTTAATTGAGATATGCTGAATTTTGAACTATTGGAAACAGCTGGGGAAATCAAAAAATTGATCCAGGGTATACCAAAGCTGTAGAACTATTAAACAGATTGAACTCTCAAGAGAAATTAACTAAAGGGAATAATCATGTTTTACCTACTGATGAATCAAACTCAAATAGGTTCAATAAGTTTCATATCAATTAGATAACAGTTCAAATCCTATATACTCAATACTGACTAGAAGTAGATTGACTATTGATTAATTACTAGAAGTACAAAAACAGGCGAAAGTGTAATGCTTACCATGCAGACTGAATCTCAATGCAGCAAGCAAAAAGGATAATCACATATATTACAGACAATATGCAAAAGAAAACTCACGGAATCCTGCATATAATTCCATGCTCTACAACACCATCAACTTGTTCAAGACAATTGGCTACATCAGCTGCCAAAAAAAAATAATGATGATTGTCTAGCAAAAGTAATGCAGATAGGTTTAAGAGAAAGGAAACAATTAATTATGATGGTCTAGATGATACCAAGGCTTATGATTGGGGATGTAAATATTACATCTAGCACATTATGCCCTTCTTTTGTCACCATTGGGAAGTCACCACCAAGGGGGCCAGCATACCCTACAGATGGTCTCCTCCAGACCTACACGAAATAAAAAGATCAGTGCCGAAGATTTGAGAACATTTCTAACCATGTAAAAACAAAGATGTAACTGAAGGAAGAGCCATTATTGCGAGGTACTAAATCAAAACAGAAACAAGGAAACAGGGAGAAAAAACAATAACAGCAGATATGCGTACTACATAAAACGAAAGGAACAATCACAGCTTTCTGGAATACGGTTGAAATGAGCTCAGACCAGGAAAAGTAGATTATTTTAGTTCTGAAGTCGGTAGGTCCATACAGTATATTATTTTAGTTCTGAAGTCAGTAGGTCCCTGTGGTCTCTGAAGAAAAGGTACTGGGAGGTATCAGACAGCAGTTTTTCCAGACTGTTTACATTAAAACCTTTTAAAATCAGCTGTTCGGAAAGAGTCCTAGCTAGGGACTTCCTATCAGAAAGGGAAAAACATTGGTAGTCACTTACAACAACACCACTTGTATAAATTTGGACAATAGTAGGAAGAGACATAAACATAATCTTCAACCAGTGAATTATCTAGCCCAAGAGTAACTTGACTCAGTTTAAACAAGGTTTTGCAGGGGAAAAAGCATGTTGGTGATAGTTGTCATTCCTTTCTACCAAACATACTGGACCAATACATCTTTTTCCTATTTTAGGGGATTGTTTACCCCCAGGAAGCTTTTCACTGTTTTCCCTTCTTCTTTTGCTGGCATGAAGACTAAAAGGGGCAGGAAAATTTTCGCACCGTGATGTCTCAATGATGCCTAGATACTTGGCTATTTGATATCATTTTCTTTCCTCCCATCCCATGAAAGTCAGAAAACATACCATATTGAAAGAACACACGAAGATTTAAAAAAAAAAAGACTACCTAAAACACTTAGGCAGTACAGGATGGATTACTATTGTTTCTAGGCATACCTCAGCATCACCAAGGAATAGATCATCAATCTCTTCAGCAGTTTCCATCCAGTTAAACTAAAACATAAATTTATAATGTCAAGCTGCTTGTCTTTCTGGTTCTAGACTTTATCTCCATCCTAAAAATATCAAATACACACTATTTAAGCTTACAGATTGTATTAAAACGGGGATTGATCCATACAGATCACTTCTATACTGCTTCTCAGTGACAATGAAGACAAGCTTTTCGGCAGCTCCAAGAATAGTCTGCAAGGAAAGGTAACCACTGCATCTGACACAAGAAATTAAGCTGTACAAAGACCACATTAAATGAAAAATCAAGCCAACTTGGATGCCTTGGAAAGCCAAAGATAGTATCTAGCAAGAAGGAAATCTCAAAGAGAGATCTATAGAGTTGAAATGATAAACTTCCAGAACAAAATTTGATGCGTGGTTTACCGCAGCATTTGTGCTTCATTCTTTCTTTTCTATGCTTTTCAAACTGAGACTAGTATTATATATTTACATGAGTAAACTTACTTAAACTGACTGACCTTTTCTTGAATAATTGACTCCTCTCCCATCATTTTCCGACGCCCTATAATGGCAGAAAGTGTCACCTCCTCTATAACATCAGCATCACTAAATGCTACATCAATCTACTATACAGAAAGCCAAAAATTTTGTTATACATCATTTAAGATTTTTTTTCCCACGACATTTAATATATTAAAACGCAAAATAGTATGGAACAACAAACAAGCAGAATTTGGGCCTACAGTTCATTATTACTGTAAAGTGCAACCTAACATGTTGTTCCCTTTCTATTCCACAGTCCAAAAGTAATCATAAAATTTCCTATCTATCCTATAATTTCATCAATTCAAAAGGTAAAAGATTTAACAGATTCACAAAACCACTAAAAAAGATCTAAGGGTGCTTTTTTTTTTCCATGCAATTAGTAGAGAGCTCGGTAACAAATCCACAAGCCCCAGAAAGAATACAAATGCAGAATCAATGATAAGAAAATGGTTCATACTTTTGAGCTTCCCTCATATTGTTCCAAGGGAATGCCTACCTTGGCTGCCACACTTGCACTACCAACACATCTGCATCACAAAGCTGCTGATTAATTCTAAGGGAAGAGTAAATCTGCTCAATCAAAGGTTCCCACTTTTACAGTGGACAGAGTGACTTTAAAGAAATTGAAGTTGTTAACTTAGAACTGAAAAGAAAGGAAACAGAGACTGTAATTACCATGACAACTCATCTTTTGATAACAGTAACATGTTTAAAAACATTTATACAACATTTGCAGGATATATATGATCTTATTTGCTCCAAGACACAATCAGCTAGAAGAAGCAAGAGTTTCCAAAACCAACTTAATTTAAGGGGACCAATTGTTCTTGTCAATTAATTTTTTAGATAATTCTAAAGCAATTTTGCAAAGAAAAGATGCTATCAGCCAGTGGCAAATCCAAGATTTGAGACGAGGGGCAGGGCGGACTTGTGTAAAGAACAAAAAGATATTGAGCAAGTGCCTAATACAGTTAGCAAAAAAGGAAAAATAAGATTAAAGATCATATCTCTGCTCAAGCTTCAACTGGGCAGAATTTGAAGATTAGCAACCTAATTGGGAGCAAAAGATACATTTTCCATTTCAGAAGTTTCTTTGTTTTTTTTTGGGTCCTAAGCTTATTTTGCTCTTTTACTTGTTTGCTGGAATTAATCAGAATTGTGTAGTTTGACTGTTTGTCTATTGTATTAGGCGAGCAATTGGAATTTAAAAGGAAGTATAACTGAATTTATTGGAGTGAAATGAGTACAAAAGTCACTCCTATTTAACAAATGGAAACATAGTTAAACCTATATGATCTACCCATGAAGATAAGCTAATTGAAAAATAAATGCAAAGGTATTCTTAAAGCAGGGAAAATGTAAAACTTTCTGACAGCAAAAATTTTCAAATGTATATTGGTAGAGGCGGCTGCCGACAACCTCCCCCCCCCCCCCCCCCCACAACCAAAAAAAAAAAAAACTCCCCCTGATCCCCCAATCGTGCAAAATTCAAAACAGAGGCTCATGCATATGACTAACCACTAAGATGATACTAAAAGAATTAAAGAATTTGATTTACGTGGGTGTGCCAACTATATCTTTTAGTGCACCAGCCTTAAGTTGCTGACCCAAGTAATGTATGGCCAAATCAGAAGCATGACCAGCTCCAAATCCAACCACCATACCACTTTTGACATAAGAATCCACCTGAAGATAAAACAGAACTTGGTATAACTACACAAATCAAGTGTAATTGAGAGAATTTGTCATCAGTTCTCGTAAACCATTTCCTCCTATGTGTCCACTTTATTTGAGTCTTTTCCATGTTGCTTGACAGAAGAAATTGGACTGAATTGCATCAAAGACCATACCACATCCTTCCTGAGCTAGTCTACTTCTTCAACACCATCAAAAATTACAGCCTGAGTTATAATTTCATCAGTATAAGTCCAAATTGTATTCACACACACACCCTTTCTTGTTTTCTTTTCTGAATTAAAGGCAGTGAATACAACTTCGAAAAACGTCCCACAACAATTGTTGTTGAATTACACTTATTGTGCTTGTGCATACATTTGTTGCATTCATGTATACATTTGAAGTTTCGATACAGCAACATTGCACTCGGCAATTGCAACCGGAATGAGCTTCATGCATAACATTCAATGCATTGAAAAACCTTATAGCCTGTAAAAACATCAATTCTTCCTTTACAAAATATTCCTATAGAACCAATAGCAAAATTGATCAACCAAAGTTGCAATCTGACTACTAGTTCAGCTGAAAATTCTATAGACCACCTTAATATATCAAAAGAATTAGTCTTAAACACCTGAACGTTCGGTGTTTGAAAGGTTTTCAACCAATTAATTAAAGATTTTTTCAAAACAACCTGCAATTAACAACAATCTTTGAAGATAACCAAGAAACAAAAACAAAGTGAAAATGCAAGAAAGTACAAAATTAGCGATATGATATGCTCAAAAGGTAGTAGAATATAGTAGGGTGCGAGAGTGAGTTACGGTGTGCTTGGCTGCTTGGAGGAGAGCAGAGTTGTCGGAGAGACTAGAGCGAGTGACAATGGATAAGGAATTTGTTCTTCTGGTGAAGGTAATTTTTGATGCCAAACAAGGATGGAACCAACTTCGGAATGATGACGAAAATGGAAGAACTGAGGATGATGCCATTCTTGGGCTGTCAATAAAAATCTTCCTCTCTTGCTTCTGCTTGTTTTTCTGATATACAGTGCTGTTCTTGATGGGTCATTTGACTCCCTGGGATAGATTTGAAAGGATAAGAAAATGGCGCTCTCTTCATCTCATCTCACCGCCCACGTTTCCTTTTTACTCTTCTTCCTTCTTTTCGCAATTTTGAACTGATTTCACCATTAAAAAAAAAAAAAAAAAGGAATAATTACAGAAACCTCCCCTAAGGTTTTTAAAATAGCACTAATCTCCTCTAGCATGAATTTGGGCCCTATAACTGATGTAAGATAGGGTAAATTTACTTATATACCCTTAGAGTTTAAGGTCGTTAGTAAACAAATTTGGAGCAAAAAAAATTAGGACAATAAACAAGTTCAGGATAACTAATTAAACGAGATTAATGGTTATTTTTTACCTGATTAGACATTGTAAGTACTCTTACAAAATCGCACCAATTGATGCTCTAATATGACATTATTTTGTGATTCATAGCACTTGAGAGGACAATCCAAATTATATATTATTTGCATAGAAGAGAAGCGAAAGTAAGAAAAATGTAAGGGAAAGAAACCTTCATGCAAGGCTCCATAAGAGAATAAGTTCTGGTGTTTTTGGTTGAATTCACTTTATTTTAAACATTCATGAAATGAAAGAAGAAAGAAAGTAGAAATCAAGGCAAAATCTAGCGATTTTTTTTTGTTAAAAATTTGCGGCAATCAAAAGACAATAGGTAAGCAATTGTTCATCTCAACTTAATATAAAAAGTTTCTTTTAGTAAATAAGAGTTTCTGGAGTTAGTTGTACACTTTATATGTTTTAAAACCTTAGATTTCTGAACGTGCGTTCGTTGCTTCTTCTAGTTGTAGTTACTGCACTTATTTTCTTTGCCCTTATATCCTCTTCCATTTTACTAATTGTTTCCACATTTTAATGCTTTTCATTCTTTTACTAATATAACCTCACAAGTGACAAAAAAGGTACAAATGGAACAAAATTATTATCTCACTTCTCAAAATATTTTTTTTAATGGCATTTTCTATAACATGTGCTGAATCTGCATCAAAATCTTAAGTTTAGAGAAGGTTAGTGCTATTTTCAAAACCTCTGGGAGGTGAGTGCAACTATTAGAAACCTCAAGGGAGGTTTTTGCAATTATCCCAAAAAAGGGTTGGACTAAATTCAGATCTACTATTTGTGGTCAATAAATAAAAAAAAATGTTTGGATAGAATATTATTTAAAATAACTACTGTAACACTTTTTGCGATACAATGTATGTGAGATAAAAAGACAATTAGAAATATAAAATGGTGAATTGAAAAATGTGTTTATGATACAAGCGAAATATTATTTGGTATAACTTAACTATCCAAAAACATTAGCAAAAGGGTGAGATTTAAGAAAGGCAGTAGAGGAAATGACAATTTAAACTCAAGATTTATGATTTTTGAGGTCTCAAGCCTAGCTATTTAACCAAAGTTTCGTTGGCAACTTCTTACCTGTCACTTATCTTCCTAAAAAGTGTAAAGTTTTTTTTATTAATTGCGCCCTCAATCAATATAAATGTTGATATATTGATCTTTTTTTCGCTCCTTAATTTACATGTTAGTAGTCATTTTTTTCCCCTAAGTTTAATTATATTTTGGTAAGCTCATACACTCAATAAAATTTGTAAAGGTTTTCAAATAGTGATGTATTTGAAACAAATTATTCGACTTAAACGCATGAGTAGTTTAGTCAAAAGTTCGACTCAAATTTGATCAAGATGAGCTACTTGACAAGGTATTCAAGTCGCATATGAGCAAGAAAAATCAAAACTCATGTAATTGTGGAGACTTTTTGAATAATCACGTGTCAGTGTAGCAACATAATTATTGTAAGAAATTTGTGATTTTGGTCTTGTAATCATGTGTCACTATAGTAACGTAATTATTGTAAGTAGACCATGTTTAGACAAAATTAAACTTTTCGAAGGGTTAGTTCTCCAAAGTTTAATTTGTACCAACTGTTATCTTGGATGGGTAGATTACTTCTAATTATCCATTATTAATTGATTAATCAGAAAATATGTTACTGCCAAGTGTCCTGCAAATTTGAGCCCTTCTTCAAATGACAGCCTTTTGACGTCCCAAAAGGACAATGTGTGAAGGACAAAAAGGACAATGGAGCAAATGCAAAGACGACTCTTGCCATCCCTTAAAGTGGGCTTGGGACTGGATTATACCCCAAAGTTAGACCCATGGATTTGGTTTGGTCCCATGCTGGGCTTTACTATATTTGCTCCTAAGCCTTCGAGCTAAAAGAATCCCAACAGAAAATTTTTCCTAGTAAATCATCTTTCCACATTGTAAACTTACCTTGCATTTAAAGCGATATACATGGTTAAATAAATAAACAAAGGACGTTTTGAACATCACTATTTTGACACATTTGTATTGGCAATTGTACATGTCCTTTACATTTTTAGTATTTAGATTCCCCATTTTGACACATTTGTTGATTTTGATTAATTAGCTATTTACACAATCTACAGAAACTGAGAACAGTCTCTAAAATCAGATTAGGGTCAATGAGTTTGTCAAGGGAATTAAACTTGTTCTTTTTTAGGTTTTTGTGATGTAATCTTCATGGATGGTGTAGTCAAATTTTTACTTGGCCAATAAATTACCACAACGATCGATATGAGATTATAACTCAATGAATCATTGAAGTAAGTTTAGTGGTCAGAGGAGAACTCTTAAAGTCATTATTGCTGTTAAATTTAGAATTTGAATCCTGTGCCTGACAGTTAGGAGTAAGAAGGGTAAAAGAAAAAAGAAAAAAATCTATAACTCGATGAATTTATTGTAAATGAATCTTTTTAATAGTTATTCGGAAGAGGAATGGAAAGGAAAAAGCAGAGAATGAGAAAAGAAATACGCGACAAAATAATGCGTTTTATCCTTAATAAGATTTAATGTCTAAAAATCAAATCCCAAGAAATTTTTGGTATATATAGGAATCCAAAATGATAATTAAGTACTATCGTATTAAGAATCTAATCTCAACTGATTCTCATGATTACACTAGGATCGGTTGATCCTTTATCTTTTTCTAAAGAACATGAGCATTTTCCCAGGATAGGGCCATGTGCATTTCTCATGATAATGGTTCTCTTTTTTCATACATCATTTAGTCTCATGCAAGTGCATTTGAATTATGATCACTGGCCCTCCACCCTTTTCCATTGTCTGAAAAAACTTTTTAATTAATTCGTGACAAGAATTCAATCATGGAAAACGATTCCCGGAGGACAAAGGAGGAATGCCAACTCTTGAGTTTCATGGACCACAAGTATGACGATTGGCATCTAAATCCACATTGGGAAAAACTTCCTTGTTTGGACGGTGGTTTTTGCCAAAAAATTTTTTTTACGTTTTTCCTAAATATATTTTTCAATTATTTTATTTTATTTTACATACATCAAATCGTTACAGTACATTTCTCTTTTACCAAAAAACCCCTAAAAATAGTAATAAAAAAAAGTTGAAAAATTTGCTTTTAACATATGAACTCAATGTTTATGTTACTTTTTTTAAGCTATATATAAAATAAAGTATTAAATTAAGTTTTGAGTTGATTTTTTCGCAGCAAGAAAGACTCTAAAAGTTTTTTTTTGGCCACTGGGAGTTTTGAGTTGATTTATTGTATTTAATATTAGTCTCAAAAGATGCCCGGACATTAAAAAAAAAGAAAAAGAAAAAAAGGAACACCATTACAAGAACCTATTGTCTGAAGTGTTGGGAAAAAATCGTTTATTGGAATGTCGAATGGAAACAAAGAATCTTAAATACTTTACATATAAGCGCCTTTGATTATAAGTTAAATATTTATTCCTAAAGTTTGTCACATTTATATAAGCGCCTAATTTTTTTAAAGAAAAAATAAAAGATTATGACCGTTTAGCCATTTTAGTCATAAGGTCATAAAGAATTTGCTTGTAGTCAAAATAGCAAATATTACAAGCACTTATGTAAACCACCTTTCTTGCACATGTATCCGAAAAGAAAAACCTGCTCCAATAACTTTCCCTTTTTTGATTAAAATCTATTTTTTGATACAAAAATAATAAAATATGAGAAATAAATTAGTAGGTTAACGTCTCAACACGTAAAAGTTCTGATTCAAATCGCCATTTTGCTTCCCTTACCCTGATTTTTAAATCCTACATTTTCTGGGTTCAAATCCACATTTTACTTCCCTTTCCCTTCTTTTTAAATCCTACCTTTTTCGGTTCAAATCCACATTTTTCTTCCCTATCCCTGCCTTTTAAATCCTAATGCTGAAAAAAAAATTTTAAAAAAAGAGAAATAAATTACTAGTGTATGATTAAGGTCTAGAAGCCTTTGTCCGGACTGGGTCGCCACGGGGATAAAGAAGTGGAACGTTGGAAACAAATGGGCCTAACATAAATCTAGACAAAAAGGCCTATATCATCATTTTCTGGATATGGCCCGCTTTGACTGTAACCCAACGTCTTTATTGTCTGCATTATTTTCTTTACTTTGTCACCTTTAAATAAGATGATTGGTTTTTTTTTTTTTTTTTTTTTTGTGCCCAATTTTATACGTGGAACGGTGGAAGTGACAAGTGAAGAATGAACTTTCAACATATCTACTTAAAGCTACTTTAGGTATAACTAAAAGTTACCGGCAAGTAAAAATGAAAGTGTTTGCCTAAATGATTTTACATCATTATTTGATATGACATGCCTACAGTAAATTTATGAAATATTTATATCGGGGTATGAATATCTATATAGTGATAGATTCATATACACAATGTGAGAAATTTTAACTACCAATTAATGTCATTTCTCACCAGGTAATTTGTGCCAAAATACGTGATTTTGACAAACCTTTTATTATTATTATTTTTTTGAAGTAGGGGAGGAGCGAGAATTAAGAAGCAAGGAGCGGTTAGAAAGATTTGAATACAGTAATTCTAATTTCTGAAATTTCAACTTTAGTTACTGAATCAAAACCTTCTCAACAATGTTTATTGTATTATGTCCCTAATCACAATATGCATGTTTTTTTTTTGTATGTTTTAACAGGAAAGAATTAATCACATAGGCAGTGACATTTTTCGTGATCCTAAGAAGTC